GTATTTTTACAGTCTTTATTTTACAGTGAAAATACATGTTTATCAAATAAATTCTAATGTTTCAACTAATCATGGATCCCTTTAAAGTGGTCCAGCTCTGTTTCAAGCAGTAAGTTGTGAGTAGTGCTAAGGGGAAAAAAAATTACAATTTATTGTTCCTCACTGCGACTCGCCTGAGTCACTTTTGATGAGCAGCTCGCTCTCCCTGCCTCTGTGTTTGTTAGACGGCGCATCTCTGTTGTCTCTTCTGTTTTTAGAGCGACAACAAGGGGAACCATCTGCTGGTGTCGGAGGAAGCTTCGATCAATATCCCCGCCATCGCTGCCGCCCACGTCACCAAGCGTTACACGGCTCAGGCCACCGACGAGTTAACCTTCGAGGTAACGTCTCGTGGAAGAGATTCGAGACACRCACGCTCGTTTTGATCCATCTGTGTTTTTTTTCCACTTGATGCCTCTGGTTTAGGTCGGAGACATCGTGTCGGTCATCGACATGCCTCCCAAAGAAGACACGGGCTGGTGGAGAGGAAAACACGGCTTTCAGGTAMAACTTCTACTGCAGACATTAGAGACTGTCGAACAAACTATGCTGTAGAATAGTTTTATCTAAAGTCAAWTTTTTATTGGCATTAAATAATGTACAATAATTGCCTGTATATGAGTTTTTTGTCTGTCTGTTAGCAAAATATTTCAACAAATTAAAAGATTTTAAGGAAATTCTCAGAAAGTAATTATTGGATGTTTGTTCACATGTAACAGAATAAATTTTGGAGTCACTGCAGTTCAATATGGCATTTTGAACACGTTTCGTCCTCTCTTGTAATGATATTATATGTTTGTTTTGTTGAAAGTTGGGCTAATGTATACTTAGCACAAAAAGTAAGGACATTTGTGTTTGGTTGATTATTTGATTGTTGTAACAATGCTTCTTGGCAATAAATCTTATACCATTGGAAAGCCTGTTCATTTCCCTTTTAAATGGCGCCATATTTGTAAGGAACATGCATTTGTGGGATGAGCAGTAGAGCCGTGTATGTACATGAAACCTTAGGCAAATCTTTGCCAAACAGGTTATTTTGCTGTTTGTTTTGAGCTGGTACTAAGGTGCTGCCAGTCAGGTGCCAATAAATAAGACTTATTGCAAAGAAGAATTGTTACAACAAATAAATAATCAACCAAACACAAATGTCCTTACTTTTTGTGCTAAGTTTATATAAAATAAATTTAGTTATGGTAGTAGCAGATCATTAATAAATAATTTGAGGCAGATCACTCGAGAGCTTACCAAAATGTTTTCAAGATTTGACTTAAATAGTTTCAACTCAGTCATCCTCTCAAGGAATTCCAGGTCTTTAATTTCTCAAATCCATTTTCTGTTTCTGTGCAGGTYGGTTTCTTCCCATGTGACTGCGTTGAGCTCATAAATGATAAGATTCCCCCAAGTGTTCAGAACTCCGTGCCGAAGCCAGGTACTCTTAAGTCTTAACTTTACTTATTAAATTACTCATTACTTAATCTTTACTCTTCAGTCGAGTCCGACTGATTTTCAGCAGCTGCTCTTTGTGTTTGTGCRTCATCTGAATCAGTGTGTAAGAGGCACGGGAAGCTTGTAACGTTCCTGAGGTCCTTCATGAAGTCTCGGCCACCGCCACAGAAGCTCCGACAGCGCGGTATCCTCCGGGAGCGAGTTTTCGGCTGCGATCTCGGGGAACATCTTCACAACTCAGGACACGAGGGTAAAACATTTTCACAAAAATCTTTTTTACTTCCTTTTTTTTYTTGTTTTTATCTGCTGGCAGTTATTATTGCATTTTATTCTGCCAAAAAAATACAAATAAATTAGTCAGTGACCCTAGGCTTCTACACCAGATTCTGTGAATTTGCCAAAAGCTTTTATTTATTTATTTATTTGCTTTTTAATGTTTGAACACTTGAAAAGCTGTTCAGACAATGATGAWAGGGATGAAATTCTTCTTGCTGTAATCTCAAACATTTAACTGAAGGGTTTTGGACTGAAAATATGTGACCCATGCTGGCAAAATGAGCCACAATTAGGTATTCTTTTCAGTATTTCATTATTACTAATATTTTTTTAATTCTCCATTTGAAAACTCATTGTTGTCTGAAGTGATGTCATCGGGAATTCCAGGTTTGTATTTAAAAAGTGGACTCACCAGCTTTACTAAGAGACCACGCGTTGTACGAAGGGATTTCCTGCGCTCTGGCAGAGAAATTGATCAAGTTTGAAACTAGAAGGTTTAAAGACAAAATAATGACTTTGTTAGAAAACTTTGATTTAAAGGTGGATTAGGAAGATTATGTTATWTAAAATACCAATAAATGCTGCTTTAATGGACTTTTACACACATTTCAAATATATGGCAAAAATCAATACATCAAATTTTATTGCACTGAAGCCTGAGCTCACTCTGACTCATGGGTTTGCCATCATGAGTCATATATGKTTATTTTCTTTAAATACTGATATCACTTTTTTGTACCCAAACTCTTTATCCGGTACATAAATCATTAAGATGTTGACAATTACATACTGATAAAATGCTGTTTACAATATAGCATAGTTTTTAAGTTTAGCTAAAGCTTGTTGCTGACTTCTTTTCTGTTTTCTGTTTGTTTTCAGTCCCACAGGTGGTAAAAAGCTGTGCTGAGTTCATTGAGAAGAATGGAGTCGTGGATGGAATTTACAGACTGTCGGGGATTTCTTCCAAYATCCAAAAACTGAGGTTCTTTCTCGTTTCATGCTTGATATAATCTCAGAACAAAGCCTGTGTGTGTGAACAGACTGACTTCTARTTTTTCTAAACATTTAATCATGTTTAAAACTGTGTGAGTAAAGACAAATAGAAACCGTTTAACTCACCTCTGACATTGCGTAATTTTTTTTTCATGGAGCTGGTGTGTTACAAAGAGGTGATTAAAACATAAATAAATAAAGAATGATGTAAATTRAACAAGTAGGTCCCAGTACAAAGAACTGCGAATGCAGCTCTCCAAGACTTTAATGTTTTTCGGTGTTTTTCAGCTGCTTTTTAAAAATCTATAAAGTATAATTTGTTTCATGCTGTGCCGGTACATTTCAGTGTCTGTTATGATCCTCTCATCTATTTCATGCTTGCCAGAAGGATTTTGTTTAGCTCCTATCAGAGGGTGCACTGAGAGGCACATGAGCTTCATGGTTTTTGACAGCAAATCAAAACCAACCGCATAAAAAACTTAGCTTTCAGCACACGGAATGTTCTTTTTTAACATAACAGCGTAGATGAAAGGTTGTTAACGCAATTTATGTAACTACAAATGAAATGCATGACTGACTTAATTTCATTTCGGTACTTAAACAGCTTCATTATTGAGAAAACCATGATTTTCATTCTGAAGGAAGCCCACTCGTTCTGATTCTGTTYTGTTTCTCCACATTCTCTCCCTCTGTATGCATGTAGGCATGAGTTCGACTCAGAGCAGATTCCAGATCTGAGCAGAGACGTCTTCAGACAGGATATCCACTCGGTGGGCTCCCTGTGCAAGCTGTACTTCAGAGAGCTGCCCAACCCTCTGCTCACCTACCAGCTCTACGATCGATTCTCAGTAAGGATCGAKGCGGTCGGAACGGAAGCTCAGATTTATGCCTGGTGGGATAAAAATAGTTGCTGGAGCTGCCGTAGTGCTGGAGTCAGGTTTTTAGAGGAGCAACGGCTGCAGAGAATTCATTCGYAGTCACTCAGTGATAACAAAAGAACAGAWGTAACTATTTTATTATTTTAAATAYATATCTTGTTTAAAAGCTCAGCTCAAAATGAGGTCATTGCTTTTTTGCTGAGCTTTCTAGGAAGTGCAGGCGATGGCCGGCTTTAAAGCAAACCACAGATTAAATAGAATTAAATAGAAATATGGCCTGCTGTTGCTATAAAAGAGGAAGAACATGGAGAGAATAATCAGACGACTCCCTCTACTGTGATTTTCACCCGCATGGTGCTTTGTCCTCTGTTTCCTCACAGGAGGCCGTGTCTGCAGCCACAGAAGAGGAGAGGCTGCTCAAAATCCACAATGTCATTCAGCAGCTGCCCCCTCCACATTACAGGTCAGTTTTGCAGCTCACTGCTGCCCCCTGCAGGTTTAACATGAAAATGTGACTTACTGCTGGAAAGGAGGAACGTTAGCAGTGGTTTCCAAACTTTTCCATACCGTGGCCCCCCCGAACGCCGTTAACTTCTGGGCTTCCTTGCAAACACACAAACAATGCTACAAAAATTTGTAAAGAAAATTTCAGAATGTTTTTTTTCTCACTTTTATTCACTATTAAATAATTATTACATTTGTTTTCAGAAAATTTTATTAGCTGACATGTTTTAAACCCTATTATATTCCCAATGAAAAACTGTTGATAAGAACAGAACAAACAAAATTGAATCTCTTTTAAATTCTCTTAAATAA